CCCCCGGGCGGCCCCTGCCACTGTCATGGGAACGTGACTGCCGCTGCTGAGGCCCGTCCTTCCCTACCCCGAACACCTGGGCACAGCTCCCTGCCGGCCAGGCAGGCGGTGGGGCCCTAGGGCCGCCCTGTCCTTTGCCCCTGATGCCACCCAGCTCCAAAACCCATCCTGGACGGAGGGAGCTCTCCCACCTCCCAGCGCTGCCGGGAAATCAAACCAGTGCGGAAAGCAGGGCGGGCGGCTGTCCCGGGCCAGGGTGCTGAGGCTCTTGGAGATGAGGGCTGTGGCAAAGGAGAAACAGAAAGAGCGGGGGGACACCAGAAAGGTGGCCCAGCAGGTAGGGGGCTGGCAGGGGAGACGTGGTTGTGGGCAGAGGGGAGAAACAGCTGGTGCCAGCGTGTGAAAAATACCCTGTGAGATGCCCCTCTGCCCGCCCACGTGCCCCTCGGGGAGCTGCCAGGTGGCACCTCCCTGCGCAGGAAGCGGCAGGACGGAGAGCGGGGCTGGCGCGGGCGTAGGGCAGCAGGGCTGGGGCGGCACCGCGCGCGGCACGCGGAGACACAGGGCACAGCCGCAGCGCGAGGTGCCCGCGGGCTCGGGCTGCCTCCGGGCGCCCAGACCGCTCCACCGGGCAGAAAAGTGTCCGGGCAGTATGTGGCTGGCAGGGCCAAGACGCCTGTCTCTGGCAGGTTCACGTCACTAGTGACATCCTGTGGGCAGTGCCGGGGTGAGAAATCAAACACAGGTAAAGCACAAAGCAGAGTTTCTGCCCCTCGTGGTGGCAGGGTGCCCAGGACGGTGCCAGGTGAGGTGCCAAGCCAGGAAGGGGGGATGGAGATAGTGACAAAGCAGCAATCCTTCCTCTCTGACCTTGCGGGCAGGCCTAGGGTGGCAGTGGGGTAGAGACGTCCCCGCTGCCGGCAGTCCCCCAGGTGGGTACAAACGTGGGTGTCCAAAGGCGGCGCTCGCTGGCCTCTTCCCTGCCACAAGACGTGCAGGGCTCGTGCCACCAGCCCAAAGCCGCATCCTTCGCTTCGCAGTCTCTGTCCGTGGCATGAGCCAGCCGGGCAAAGTGGCCGAGGACGGGGCCCCCTGCGCCATGGGGAGACACTGTCCCGTAGCTGACGGGGACGAAGGCCGGCCCGGGAGGCAGTGGTTCCTGGGGCTGTCCAGGCTGGCACTGCACCCGCTGTCCATCCTCCCCATCACGCTCCTCTGGCCATGGGTAGAAGGGCCCGGGCTCCCCCGGGACAGGTAGAGACAGTCCCTGGACGCATCCGTGCAACGGGGCGGAGCGAGGGGAGACGCAAAAGGGTTCGGTGGCTTTAAAGCTGGGGACTCGGTTCCCACCTCGGGTCCTCAGCACAGTGTGTCCGTGTTGAACGAGAGCTGAGCCTGCGCAGAGGGAGACAGGGAGGGCTGAGGGGCCAGCACTGAGTGTGTCAGGGCATCCCCCGGCCCTACCCAGGCACAAGTCCTGGACGAGGAGCCGGCCATGGTGGGGGGAATCCCTGCAGCCTCCTTTCCCGGCGAGCACCCCTGTGCCTGCCTCCATCCCCAAAGGGCCGTGTTCGCCCAGGACAAGCCCCTGGGCACAGGCCATTTGTGCAGTGTGACACCATGCCTTGGCTACAATGCCCCATGATAGAGGGGCATCAGCTTGGACTAGGGCCACCCAGATGCCTCCTCCCTGGCCCTGCAAGGCCGGTGCCGGGATGGCCTCTCACCCTCTCCTCCTCGAAGCTGATGAGGCCTTCGTCATCGGTCTCCAGATCCTCCTGCTCCTCCACGACGAGCGCCCGCAGCTCCGTGGGGGCTGCCCGCGGGCGCAGCAGGCTGAGCACCCGCTCCAGGGGGGACTGCAGAGCGCAGCTGGGGCTTGTCTCCTGCTGCTCCAAGTTGTCGCTTTGCTTCTTGGCAAAATTCACAAAGACCTGGCAAGAAATGAGGCGAGCGGCTACCAGAGATGCCACATAGACCTCCCCCCGCAACCTGAGCTGCTCCTTGCCTGGCATCTCCGTCCCACAACCCCAGGCCAATCTCTGCTGGTGACTGGCCGTGGTTGCACCCCCACACCAGGTACTGGCTCAGGTGCCAAGGGGCACTTTGGCACTGGAGCTCCAGGCTTGGCCCTCCTTCCACGTGCCACCCAGTCACCCACACTGTCCCAGGCCTCACGTTGTCCAGGGTGGTCTGGCTGACGGAATAGTCCTCAATGCCCAGCACGTCAACCACCTGCTCCATCTTGCTGAAGACCTGTGCCAGTGAGATCTGGTCCGATTTGAGCTGATACTGGGTCTTAGTGTGGTGCCGCTCCTGCAAGGGACATTGAGGTCAGGTCCAAGCCCCTACATGCCCAAACTCCATTTCATTCCATGGCAAGGGGAGAGAGGGACACAAAGGAGTCCTAGGGGAAGGAATGGCAGGAGGCCACTGATCTCCACAGGAGATGAAACATGCTGTGACCCTGACACATGGGCTGGCAGAAGGCAGCACTTGCACTGCAAGGCAGCTCACCTTGAGGATGGCCTCAGGGAAGTTGCGGTTGAAGAACCTCACCACCTCCTTGACGTTGAGGCTGGACTTGGTCCGCACGGTGATCATGTAGCCATCTCCAAATCTGGGCAGAAACAAGGGAGGCCGTGGGGGACCTGCCTCCACACCTGGGCCTATGTGGAGGACTGACCCCATGGAAACCTGCACACTGTTAACCACACTGTTCACACCTGGCAGTGACTGTACCCATGAAGGTGGTACCAAGATGGTCAAGTACCAATGTAGACCGCCCAGATCCCCTCTGAAGCAGCACCCATGCAGAAGGCTGACATCTTGCCAAGGAAACCATGCTATTACTGACACACGGGAGCCTGGCACCCTCTCGTCCTGCCCTACACATGGGCAGACAGGTGCTAAGCCCTCCCCGGGCTCTTACCTGTTTTTCAAGTGCTGGATGCTGCCAAGACATTTGAGACGCCCGTTCACCATGATGGCCAGGCGGGTGCAGAGCGCCTCGCACTCCTCCATGCTGGGGAGACAGCACAGGGTTGAGCAGGGTGACAAGAAGCACCATGGCATGGACAGAGAGGGAACACTCATCCGTTACAGGATGCAGCACAGGACTTGGAGGGGAGACGGGTTGTTGAGCTCCTCAAGCTGCCACCCCGCGCACAGGGGCATTGCAATCCAGCTCCCTCAATAGCATCTGCCCCCGGGATGAAAAGCCCTTCTCCCTCCTGGCCTCTCGCCCACGTCGCACAACAGGGCACATGCAGGAGTCGTGTGCCCAGCCTGGAGCCCCCCGCACCTGTGGGACGTGAGCACCACGGAGCGGCCTGTTTTGATGACATCCAGGATGAGGTTCCAAAGGAAGCGCCGTGCCTTAGGGTCCATCCCTGTCGTGGGCTCGTCCTGTGGGAAGAACACCTCAGCCAGGCCAGCCACCCCCGGGCATCTGGCCACCCCTTTCCATTCCATGACTCTGCTTCCCTAACCCTTGGCTTGTAATACAGTCTGATGCTCCAGGACCCCCCTGGCAAAGCTGGCAGTGGGTGGCTCCAGTACAGGGGCCTCTTTTATCCAGGACAGCTCCATAGTAAGCCAAGTCGAGTGCCAAGGATATGGGATGGTGCAGTAGCATGGCTCTGACAGAAGTTCTGAGATCAGGCCAGCCCCAATGTAGGATATTTTTTTCTCCAGGACACCGTGAAGACCAGGCTCTCACCAGGAAGATGAAGGACGGGTAGCCTATCAGTGCTATGGCTGTGGACAGCTTCCTCTTGTTGCCTCCGCTGTAGGTGCTGGCTGGTTTGTCGGCGTACTTGGTCAGCTCTAGCTTCTTCAGTGCCCATTTGACCACCTGCAGGGTACACAAAGCTGCTGCCACCCCACCTAGCTCCCAGACCGCCTCTGTGGGCCACAGGGCAGGCCGAGAGGTAGCACTGGGTGCTGGGCCAGTGCCCGGGGCTTGCGGTGTGGGCCAGCAACCAAGGATGCTGCAAGCCACCAGCACCCGGCACGGCCCGGGAAACGCTGTGGGTAATGGAGTGCCAGGGGCAGCCCCTTGCATGGCTGCAATAGTATGCAGGCCCAGCACCCTGTGAGGAGCACTGCTTGGGTGGCACTGCCCTTCAACCAGCAGCAAGCACTGCTGCAAGGCCACACAGCAGCAGCTCAGGGCCCTTTTGGTGCTTGGTGAGATGTCATTTCCAGAGCAGCCCTTGGGACACTGTTAGACAAGTTCTGCCTGAAGCCATACCCGCTCCTCGTCCTTCCATGGGATACCACGCAGGCGGGTGTAGAGCTCCAGGTGCTCTTGGGCTGTCAGCTCATCAAAGAGTGCATCAAACTGAGGACAATAGCCCAAGCTTTGCTGGACCTGCAAGAGCTCTTTCAGGATGCTGTGGGAAGAGGATGGAAAGACTGTGAGCAGAAACTGGCTGAGACAGTTTGCTTTCCCTTTTGGGAACACCCCCATGTTCATCCTGCTTTCACAGGCCTTTATACTGAAGCATCTTCTACCACTTTATCCACAAAGGGCAGCACTGGCTGACAACCAGCATCACTTGCCACCCCATGGATGATGGGTTGGTCCATCAGGACATGGGCCTGCAGAGTCCTTCTGAGTTGCATGGTCAGATTCACAGTGCTTTTTCCCCAGGAGACCCCAAAACAGACCCCATCGTGGTCCAGGGACAGTGGGCACTCCCCATCCACCCTGAACCAGCACCCTGTACCTGTGCCCATTAACGAAGGCCTCTCCACCCGTGGTGCTCTCATCCCCCGTGAGCATCTTGAAGGTGGTCGTCTTCCCCGCGCCATTGACACCCAGCAGCCCGAAACACTCTCCAGGCCGGACCCCCACACACAGCCGGTCCACGGCCAGGATGCGCCCAATCTTGCGAGACTTGTACACCTTGCACAGTGAGAGAAGAGGCCCTCACCCTGCTGCGAGAGCAACGCCGGGCTACAACCCACTGCATCCCAGCCCCAACCCACATCCCTGGGGTGGGGAAAGCTCTGAGATTTCTCTTTGTGGCCCCAGAGCTTCCCCAGCTCCATTGCCAGTGTCACCAGGCACGGGGGAGCCCAGAGCAGGCCAAAGACTGCCTTACCTTGGTGAGGTTCTCGATCTTCAGCATGTCGTTGTCAGCGTCGCCGCGCAGGACACGGTGCCGCTCGTTGGCCACATCAATATCGTCTTCAATGGGCTTGGTGGAGACGGGCAGTCGCCTGCAGGAGGTTGCGGGGAGCAGTGGGAGAATGAAGAGCTGGCAGAGGTGCCATGGGCCCTGCCTTTCCACATCCCTCCCAGGAGGCGAATGCTGGGGACGGGTCACTTCCTCAGCTCACGCTGCCCAGGAGAGCTGCCCTGACCCAACAGGTCTCGAAAGCAAAGCTTTTTCCCATTTTGAGGAGCTGCAAAGTTTGCACCCCAGCAGGATCAGCCCACTTCACTGCCCCACGCTCCCCTACTCACTGCGGTTTCCGGAAGAAGTTGTACTGGCACATGATGGTGATGAAGAAGCCAATGAAGCCTTCGATTGTCATGGCAACCAGCCCACGTGTCACGATGTCCCATTCAAAGGGTGACTTCATTTTATCAAACTGCCCTGGATGGGATGAAGAGGACAGAGGGGTTGGAGGGACAGTTAGCAGGGAAGGTACGCAGCTAACGTGGCCTCTTGGCATGCTTGGAGCCAAAGGCTGGCTGTGACAACTCCCCTCTGGAGGGGGCAGGGTGAAATGGGGGATCCTTGTCCCACAGGCTATACAATGCCTAAAAAACCTTCCTGAAACAGCAGAAAATATTCATGGTGGGAACTGCTGCATGGACTGGGCTCCCACAATCTGCCAACATGTGCCTCCAAATGGCTCCAACCCATCCTTGCCTGCATGCACCTGCCCTGCAGGGAGAATCAGGGTGCAACTAACCACGAGGCAGTGCCACTGGCCACATGCACAGTGACCTCCATGTGTGCGGGACAACCAGCATGGCCTCTTGGTAGAAAACAACACAGGTTTCCCCAGCAAAGAGGGCTGAGTTTAACCCCATCCATCAAAATAAGAACACTCAAACTGGGGAGAACTGCTCCTCCTGCCAGAGGCTCGGCTGCAAAACAGGCACAGAAGAGCAGCCCTTAGTGCAACGTGACTGTCACTACTTCTTGAACTGGCCCATGATGAGGTGACAGCAAGTGAGGCAAGGGACCTGGAGGGCATCTACATCTACCTTTGGCAAAGGGCATCTACCTTTGCCTCCTTGGCCTGGTGCTGTAACTGTCTTGGGCTATTTGGTCCTGCTGGCACAAGGGCTGAGCAGAATAACGTTGTCGTTTTAAAGCCTGTTTGCTGTTAAACCACTTTGCAACTTTGGTTGGGTGATCCAACTAAGAATGGCTATTTGATTGATTTGCCAGATCCAGCACTATGAGAGGAGTGACCTCAATTGTGTCTTTTCCTGAGCCCCAATCTATTTAACATCCCCTGGCTTTTTGCTCCAGGTAGACTGAGTCTCAGGGAGGGGACAGCAATAGTTCCTTGCAGGCCCACACGTTGTAGGAAGGAAGGAGGGAGCAAGAGGCCATACCAATCTTGGCATAGTATTCGTTGATGTACTCGTTATAAGCCATCTCCATCAAACCATGGCCCAGGTTGTAGTTAGGAAATACAAGGAAGCAGCTCTTCAAGTAGCTGTTCACCACTTTCAAATCCTGTGGGGATGGGCAGATAGGACACAGCCATCAGAAAAATACATGAGCACTGTAACTGCATGAGAGGATCAAGATCTGTAACAAGATGTAACATCATCTGACCTCTTAATGGGCCCTGCTTAGAGCAGGGTTTTGAAGTAGAATCCCACCAAGGTCCTATCCAACCTGAGTTGTCCTACGATCCGAAAGCCATTACATGGCCTCCTGGACCTGGCTTCTTGTTAGGAAGCAGACACCCTGCTCCAGGTCTAAATATTCCCCTACATGTTCCCTCCAGTCAACGTGTTGGAGCCACAGGCTTTGCCATGGCATGGCAGGCACAATGACCTGGCTCCTGGTGCCCTGGATGGGGGGTTCCAAGACAAGTAGCTGGAGCTACGAGACTCCTACCTTGTCATGCTCAAAGAGCTGCAGTAGGAATGTGGCGACCGTGGCTGTGATGCCGATGAAGAGGTTGATGACTATCAAAAAGACGTAGGCAGAACTGGGCACCTCAAACCAGAAGGAAGCAGGATACATGATGGGGGTGATGGACCAGCTGGGGAAACAGGTGGCAGAAATCCCCATGAGCATGGCAGGAGAGGCACTGGGTTAGTTACACGCTCACTACCACATGGCAGTACCAATCAGTGAACTTCGGGATTGCCCATCTCCCAGCCCAATCCTCTCCAGGGTCTCTCCCCACAGCCCAAAACTTCCAGCCCACCAGCTACAGGACCTGGATAAAACACCAGATGGGCAGCCCCAGGGCTGGATCCTGCCCATTTAGCTACAGAGCAGATGTGGTATCAGAGGGACCCCACCAGCAGGCCCTCACCTGCTGCCACCCTCCCTTACTCACCTCCTATCAGCAACCTACCCGTAGAGCAGAAAGAGCGAGAGGACAGCAGGGAAGTTGGTGGGAGAGGTGTAAGCTGGGAGGTCAAACACAAAGAGGATAATGATACAGCATGTGGCCGGCACCAGGTAGTTAAGCTGGAAAAGAGAGAAAGTTCTGTGATTCCCCAGTGGCCTCCCCTGGCCATTGGGGACTCAGCTGCTGGGCACGCTTAGCCTGCTCACCATATCCCACACGTAGTTGGCCAACCAGTAGATGACGGGATCACAGCCGCTCACAAACTGCAGATGTTTGGCCTTGGTGGCCTTTTCAGCGACCAGGAAAACCACAAAGCTGGCTGGCACGAAGGACATGGCTACGATGATGAAGATGGCAATCACTACATCCGTGCCTTGCAGGCTGCGTTGGGGAGCAAGGTGGAAGAGACCACAGACCACATCACTCTTAGCTGCCTGGGTAAGGGCCACGAAGGCCCTGTGCCAGCGTGAGACAGCTGCTGTACACAGGGCAAGGGTACAGTACAGAGATCATCACATCACACCCGTAGCTTTGGGTTTCCCCCTGCAAACCACACTCCCCTTCTACACAAGACACCCCCCCAGGCCACACTGCAGCGGGACGTACAGGTAATCCAGAGACAGGCTGGCACTCGTCTTGTTCATGGGGTGGTTGGTCACTGTGATACCTACAGGAAGGCCCAGGAGGAAACACAGGAATGTGAAAGCAGCTCAGGACATAAAATTTCACCCACAGCCTAAGGTCCACCTGTTCCCTGCTTCTGAGGACAGGTTTCTTTCCCTGCAGCCCAGTGCAGAAGCTAAGCTGCTTGATGCAACAGAGCAGGCCAGGCCAAGCCCTCCCTTCCACCAGCTGGAAGCAGAGCATTTTTCAGACACATCTGCAAGCCCAGAAGCCAACAAACAGCACCTTGGGAGATAGCAGACCAAGTCGCATCGTGTCTAACCCAGAACTCAAACCACACACAACTGAGGTGAGTGAACCCATCCCAAACAGGCAGCAGCCTGCTTGGGCTGAGTAACACGCGCTTAAACCCTTGTCACATCACAGCCTAAAGTTATTCCTGATATCCTTCCACCCTTGAATGCCTACAGGCCCTCACCATAGGCAGCAGGGTTGCCTTTGCTCTTGGGCAAGTTGGCCCGCAGGATGGCATTGTTGAGTGCGTTGAGATAGGTGGGCATGCTATGGTAGCCCTTGTTGTTGTAGAAGACCTGGAGAAGCAAAGAGTGGTGGGAAGTAGCTGTAAGAGTTGGGCCCCTCCCAGATGTGTTAGACCAGAGGGTTGGGGCAGGATGGAATGGGACAGAACAGGACAGGACAGCTTCCCCTTTCTCCTCCCTATCTGTACCACAGTCACTGCTGCCTACCGGCCTCCTCGGCTGCCCTTGGCCCAGCATGGTCTTACCTGGGCTGTTCTCCGGACGGCTATCTTGCGCACCATGGCAGGGGCCCTGGCCCCAAAGGAGGCTGGAATCGATTTCTGGACATTGCCAAAGGTGAGCGCCCCATACCTGTGGAATGAGGCACCTGTGAGAAGCTGTGACCACTCTCCCTAGGTCCAGGAGCAAGGCAAGAGCCATGCAGATCTCCTGGCTCCAGCTGGTCCCCCAATCCACCTCCACAAGGACCTTGCTCCCCCATGCCTACCACCCCGAGGGCACAAGGAAGATCTCTCCCACCCTCCCTCTTGCCTGTGCAGCCGGAAGCGGTCTGAGGTGTAGAGCAGGTACTCGGAGACATTGCGCCCAGTGATGTCTGCCAGAATGTCCCCTGTCACCACCTTCATCTGTGGGGGATGTCCTCCAACACCACTGGGGCAAGAGAAGCCAGTTCCCTGCATGGAGCATGTGCACTTGATGGGCTCGTGGATAATTCGGGGCAGGGCTGGGGCTGAGGTGATGGTCTCTGAGGAGCAGAGAAAACAAAGCTCTAACCAGATCCACCTCATCAGCCTCTGATCATGGGGGGCTGTCTGGAGCAACATCAGGACAGCAAGGGATGAGATGGACATGCCAGGGTGACCGGCTGCACACTCTGCCAAGAGATCTTGGCTGGGCAGGAGAAGATCACTCTGATCTACAAAGGCTAACTCCTGCGGGGCTGAGACCTAGTCTTTTGAGAGAATGAGGGGCCAAGAGACAGACAAGAAGAAAACTTTGGAGCAAACACAGGATGGAAATAATTCAGACAGAGGTTATGCACTGTCTGAAGAAGGCTAAGTAGTTATTTCTCCAGCTAGGAATCAAGTGGCCTGTCCGGTGAAGGTGACTCAAGGTTGGCCATGAGACATCATCAGCCCAGTGAGTTCACCCAGGACTGCTGGCAGCTGAATGCAGAGAGGTGCCATTGCCTGAGCAGCAATACTCTGCAAAGGCCAAGCCACACCGTCCCTGAGGGGCACTTTCGGGGATCCCTGCACTGCTCCTGGGAGGCAGATAAATCACCTCTCCTGCAAATAAACCCAGGGCCGGACAGGCCAGCAGGTACCAGCTGTGGTGATACCTTTGGTGGCTGAGGAGAAGGTTGTGGAGTTCCAGGCACGTAGCAGATCCTCATCCATCGAGACAGGGTAGTCAGAGGGCGCTGGGGATGGAGGCGGTGGCACAAAGTTGGAGAGTGGCAAGCCCTGTGTGAAGGAGTCGATGCACATGGCATCAAAGTACTTGGCTGCCAGCATCTTGGACTCGTTGCTGTTGAGGTTCAGGGTCTGCACGGGCTGGTCCAGTGTGTTGTTGAAGGCAGTCTTGAGCACGCATGTGGCACCCACGCCTGAGGGCAGGTGGAAGGTGTTCACCAGTTGCTGGGGGCTGGCATCAGGAGACAGCCTGATGCTGTTGAGAGAGAAGAATGGGTAAGGAGGAGCTAGAAGCAGGGGGGTTCCCTAAGGAGATGTGGGATTGGCCACTTCAGCCCTCTTCTGCTGGGCAAGTCCCCAGGGTTTCTACAGAGCCCTGGGGAGTCCTACAGAGCAGAGCTGCATGGGCATGGGCACTCTGGTTGTACAGCCCTGGGAGTCCCTGTAGTCTGAGCCCGGCATGAGACAAGTTGTCGGGCGCAGCCAGCACCAGCATCAGCGTTGGCACCACTCCTAGAGAGTCACCCTGGGGAAGGATGTAGGTGCTTTTTGCATGGGGACATGGCACTGGCTGTGTCTGTGCTTCAAACTCAAGCAAATCTCAGTGCCAGAGTCTCTGTAGACTCCCCTCCCTGCTCCCTGCACCCCAGCATGGTCCCGGAAAAGCGTTGCAGCAGGGGATGGAGACAGGGATAACAATGAGGCACAGGATGCTGCTCTCCAGGGAGCAGGGGGTTCTCACCGGTACTCACGCCGCTCCTCGTTGGCATAAGGAATGAAGTTTCCCTTGGGCTGCGTGTAGTTGTGGTACTGAGATGGCGAGAGGATGAGTGGAGGCAGGTCACCTGCAGGGTCAAGCAGAGGAACCCGTTTGCACCAATACCACCTTGCAGACAGACTGGCCCAACTCTCCATGAGCCTCTACCCTGACCCCTCCCAATACCCAGCAGCTCCACCACCATCCCAGCTGGAGCAGGTAGAGAAAGCTAACAGGAGCCCACAACATTTGGATCTGCAAAGCTGGTGAGACTTGGCTCATGCAGCGGCAGTTAGAGCAGTAGAGTAGGAGGATGCACTTGCTTCTGAGCTGCTGGAGCAGCTTCCAAAAATGCAGAATGACAGATACTTGACCTGGCTCTGGGGTACAAATCTGGGCACCAGAGAGGCACAGGGGGCAAACATCCCCTTTTCCTCCTGGCCCCACTGAGACTAGGGCTTGTAGGCACCTATTTCGGGCACGGAGAGCGCCACAGTCATGGCCACACAGACGAAGAAGGCAGGCAGAAGGATCTGTGAGAAGAGGGCCTTGGTGTTGCGCTTGGCACAGTGGAAGCGTTTGACGATCAGCCCGTGGAACTGCCGCAGCTTCAGCCAGGAACCCTCCAGTTTGAAGCTCCCCTGTCCCGCCAGGTCATTGTCTTCTACTTCCATGTCAGCCTCTTGATCTGGAGTAAGGAGACAGCAGGGAGGGAAGGTAGACATGAGTGGGCTGCTCTGAGAAGCCTGAGAGCAACACGAGGGATTAGTGCTGTTAGGAAGCGGGGTGGAGGGGTCCTGGGTGCGCAGACACGGTGAGGCAGCGAGCTTGGGGCTGGCACTCGGGAGTGCTGGGCTAGGAGGCTACACCACTCCTGCTCTGCTCCCTGCTGACCAAACTGGCAGGGGAAGAAGATGTCACATCTCTAAATTAATCATGACAAGAGCTGGCAGGATAACTCCCCCCAAAAGGGCTTGTGAATAAAACAGTAGCCCTTGGGCCCTTGTTTGCATCTTGTATCCTTGTATGACTTGAGCATTCAGGCAAGGATACAGTCCTGAAATTGTACCAGGAGTCTGGAGTGCAAATCTGCTCTCTGCTGCACAGACCAGCTGGTCAGACAAGAAAAAACCCAGCCCTGCAGCAAAAGTGTTAGTGCACCCACCACACCAGAGCCAGGCCGCTCACCGTGCTTGGCTGCTAGGCCAAGAAGGGAGCATGTTAGTGGGAGAGAGTCTGCTGAAGGTGCGAGTTTGCAGGAAGATTTGAGAGAGACAAAGGGAACAAAGAGAAGAGACCAAGGACTCATGCTGGCTGTGTCCTAACACAATCCAGCAAGCCCGCTAGGTTTGTGTCTCCGTATGGGACCTCCTCACATACTTGCTGTCCCTCAGAGTGAAAGCATGTATCAGCTGAAGTACCCAGTTGCAGACAAACTCCCATCCAAATCTCCTGCAGTTAGCCATCTCCCACAGGTTGCTAGTGCCTAGGCCTGCAGAGCTGGAGGGTTCCCTTTTTCTCTCTCCTCACAGGTCCCTGGACACATCTGTCTGTTGTACACTGGCTCAGCCCCGCATGGGAACTCACCCGAGCAGGCACAGCCCTGATCTCCAGCACAGAGGGGATTTGGAGGCCCCTGAGAAGGGCCAGTTTCCCTCCCCGTTTGGGAGCAGGGATGGGAGCTGGGTGCACATGGCCCGAGGTCTGTGCTGGGCCACCTGCCAGCCACCCTCCTCATCCCCAAGGACAGCACTGGACCTCTGGAGCACCTCACCGGGGCGAGCAGGCCCCGCACCTCCCGCTAGCAAAGCGAAGGGCTGCCGTGCAGTATTACGAACCTTGCAGACTGATGTTATCAGGGTCCTGCCGATTATCAAACAACGGAGAGTAATCCCCAAAGAACTCCGAATAAGCCCCACCTTCATCGCCCCGCACGGAGCCCACCGAGGAGGCTGAGCGCAGGGACGCCTGCGACTGGGCAAGCTTGGAGCAGGTCACCAGGTTGCTTAGCTCCACCTCTGGCTTCTCGGGCACCTCTGCTTCAGCAAGGGGCTCCCCGTTGGCCTCAGGCTTCGGACCCAACTCAGGGGCGGGTGGCCGTAGGGCATCCTTCTTGGATTCTTTCATATCTGGAAGGAGAAAGAGGGCTGCCACTCAGTGCTGGCCACAACAGCCTTTGAGGTGATGTTGCAGCAGAGAAGGAACAAAAACGTGTTTTGTAAACCCAGAATGGAGCAGGCACCTGGCTGCTCTTGGCTGGCATAAGGCAACATCTGCCCTACGAGGACAGGCTGAGGGAGCTGGGCCTGTTCAGCCTGGAGAAGAGAAGGCTGAGAGGGGATCTAATCAGTGTATATAAGTACCTCAAGGGAGGGAGTGCAGAGGATGGTGCTGGTCTCTTTTCAGTGGTGGCCACTGATAGGACTAGAGGAAATGGCCGGAAACTGAAGCACCAAAAGTTCCACAGGAACTTAAGGAAAAATTTCTTAACAGTGAGGGTGACACAGCACTGGAACAGGCTGCCCAGAGAGGTTGTGGAGTCTCCTTCTCTGGAGATCTTCAAAACCCGCTTGGATGCAGTCCTGTGCCACGTGCTCTAGGTGACCCTGTGTGTGCAGGGGGGTTGGACTAGATGATCTCTAGAGGTCCTTTCCAACCCTAAGCATTCTATGATTCTATGATTCTATGATCACACCATTTGGAGAGGAACATACTGCTGCTGCCATGTGAGAAGGGAGAGGAGCCACAAAGTCCACGTCAAGTAGGACACACAGCACTTTTCCATCTTATCCCCATGTTCCAGAACTGGTGACACTGCCGCGTGCCCCACAGGGTCCATACCAGCATCGCTGTTCTCCAGAGACTGGTCCTCCTCAGACACCTTGAGGAAGACCTCCTCGAGCGTGGTGTCCATCAGCCCAAAACTGGTCAGGTCCAGCTCCTCCAGGCTTTGCTCCAAATGCTGTGGTGGAAAAGCACTACATGAGTAAAGCTGGAAGCTCATCTCCCCCACATGCCTCCCACAACACTGGGGGATCCCTCAGGCACCCATTCACCCCATGAGCACCCAGTGCAGGGCAGGATCTTCTCCCTGAGCCAGCTGCTGTAGGTATATGCAGGTGAAGCTCTTGAATGGGACTGAAACAGGCCCAGTACTGTGTCCCGCCCCTCCAGCGCCAACCTTGCACAGGTGCCTGTGCTATTTTCCCCCTAAAAAGTCTCCTGGGAGTCCCACACCCATCTGTGTCCATCCTGTCTTTCCAGGACAACTCTCCTCCCACTACCAGCAGGTTTGGCACTGGGGTCCGCCGCAGATTTGGTACCTGGAAAAGCCTCTCGAAGCAGCCCTTCTTGACAGCCTCACTGGGCAGGATGTAGGAGAGCTCGGTGTTGGTGTCCGAGATGAGAAGGCAGGAGGCCACGTACTTCTTGATGAACTGGGAGACACGCGGCTCGGAGCAGGGGCTGACGGAGGAGTGTGACGGGGGACTGTGTGGCTGGCCCGACTCTACGGCAGGGAGGCAGCACCGATCACTCCATGCATGTCATTCAACCAGGACCACCCCAGTGCCAAAGCTACAGCCCTAGACCTCAGGACTTCATTCATCCTCAATTGCAGGGTCCAGGCAATTCCCCAGCCTCCCTCTTTGCACTGCCTGGCTCTTGGGAGAGGCTCTCTGCCCTCCAGTCTCACAAGTCACCACCACCTGCAACATCTGAAGAAGCAGTGCAAGACCAGAGCCAGTGACCTGGAGACAAACGTTTCCATGCATACCAACTTGAGAGATATCACCTCCTAAATCCCTGACCCCGTCGCCCACCCAAGTTCTTCACATGGTTTATGGAAATCTGGGAAAATCTGGGTTTGAACTCTTGTCCCTTTTCTAGACAGGAAAGGAGTTGGGTCCATCTGCTCTGCCCTTAAACCCTGGAGTCATCCTGGGCTCACGGACCTGTGCTGTTTCGGGTGTCTGATTGCTTCTTGACCACTGTCAGCTTATAGCCATCGCCATAGGTGCTCTTGAGGAACAGTGGGGAGCCGCAGCACTTGAGCTTGCCATGAGATATGATGGCAATGCGGTCACCCAGCAAGTCAGCTTCGTCCATGTGGTGTGTGGAGAGCAGGATGGTCCTCCCTGCCCAGCAGAAAGAGAGCGTCAGTGAAGCAGAGGGGCCCGGCCATGCCCCAGGCTACAGCAGCCTGACCCTGTCTTACTAGGTGCTGCTTGAACTGGGTAAACTGCTTCTGGGTCCTGGGGGAAGCAAGTGTCTGAGTCCCAGCTCACCCCAGGGACCCACCGTGCCAAGCACAGGGAAGTATGACTGCTATGGGGAGAGGTATGGTGAGAAAATGTACCACATTTCAGGCAGTGAGGTAGGAGCAGGGAAAAGGGAGCTCAGGAGTCTCAAAGCTCATGTGGTCCCTCTCGGGAAGTGCAATGAGGGGTTTTAATTCCATTCCAGGGGAGGCCCTACATCCAGCTGGAGTTTTCTCCACACTGTGGTTGGCCATTCTCCAGCTCAGCCAGCCAAGGTGGAGGACCTGGAGCTGCTGTAAGAGGGAAAAGCTATGCAGGGCTTTGCCTGCCACTGTTCACCTGGCTTGTACTTGAGAATGAGGTCCCAGATGGCCCTGCGCGCATATGGGTCGACACCAGCTGTGGGCTCGTCCAAGATTACAGCCCGTGATCCACCCACGAAGGCTATAGCCACCGACAGCTTCCTCTTCATGCCACCCGAGAGGGTTTGCACCAGAGAGTGCCGTTTGTTGGAGAGCTCCAGGTCTTCAATCATCCTAGGGACAGGGGGAGAGACGCCCCATGGTGTGCTGAGGCCGGTCTGCACCCGTGCCCGCTCCAGCTATGGAGCCCAGGTGCCTGCTGGCAGCACTTGGCACCTCTTTCCCATGCAGGTGCCCGAGGCTCTTGGCAGATGGGGACAGATTAGCCACAGCCAAGCTACAAAGGGATCTTATGCTGGTTTACACAGACCAATACCTAAGATTCAAAAAACTCTTTGTGGAGCTGCTTTTGGAGACATCTCACCTCCTAGGTCACCCACCACAGCATACACAGTGGGAAAGGGACCTGCTCACACCAAAGGAAAGGAGGGGGCAAGGGAAGCTGCAGATCTGCTGGGGCAAGGTTGCCTACTTGTCCATCTCCTTGCGGATCTCCTCCTCTGCCATACTCTTGAGTTGTGAGTAGAACCAGAGGTGCTCCTCCACCGTCAGCCTGTCAAAGAGCACGTTGTGCTGGGGACACATGCCCAGGTTCTTCCGGATCTCATCCATCTCTGTCCGGATATCGTGACCATAGATGGTAGCAGAGCCCGATGTTGGAGGGAACAAGCCAGTCAGGATGGACCTGATGGAGAAAAACAACAATATGAGGGACCTCATTCGCCTCTATCCAACCCTGACCTCAATCATCATCTCCCAGGCTATCTGTTGGGCATAGTCCTTGGCCAATGACCCGGACAGAATAAAAGGCCACGCGAGGAAGCCCAACGTCAGAAGACTCCTACTCCCAGCAAACCACACAAAACAAGCAACAGGAGGAAATGGCCTCAAGTTGCACCAGGGGAGGTTCAGGTTAGCTATTAGGAGAAACGTCTACATGGAAAGAGTAGTCAAGCATTGGAACAGGCTGCTTAGGGAAGTGGTGGAGGCACTATCCCTGACAGTGTTCGAGAAACGTGTAGATGAGGGACTCAGGGACAAGGTTTAAGAAGCATGGTGTTGAGGGGCTTATGGTTGGACTCGGTGATCTCAAAGGTCCTTTCCAATCATAATGATTCTATGTTTCTGTGTCAGAGCAGGGCCATGTGCCCACTGCCTGCTCCAATCTTGTGCCACTCCCACAACCACCCACTTCCCTCTGGTAATGGAACCCGCAGAGCCACAGGCCACTGCAAGGACACCCATGCAGAACCTTTCTGACCCACTCCAGCTGGCTAGAAGGACACAGTCCATGTCTACCCTGGCAGATACTCACATGGTGGTGGTTTTGCCTGCGCCATTGTGTCCTAGGAAGGACACCACCTGGTTTTCATAGAGGTTGAGGCTCAGCTTGTTCAGTGCCAGCTTCTTATCTGTCTTGTAGACCTTGGTGAGCTTGTCAATGCAGACAACCAAGGGCAGGTGGGATGGCTCCTCCTCAATGCCCCGCGTCTCCTCTGCTGCAACAGCATCATGGTGAGGAGGTGAGGGGTGGGTGGGGGAATCCAACTCAGAGCAGGACCTCCTAGGGAATGAACCATCCCCACTCCCAGCCCTGCTCATGCCCATGCCATGTAGCCATCTTGGCTCCAGGCCTCTCTTCCCCTCTGCTTCTCGACAGCTTCCCTCTCCCAGAACGGTAGGGATCAGCTCCCTGAAAGGCTGCAGTGCTCGGCCTCAGACCCAGGATCCCACCCAGACAAACACTGTTTCCTTTGGATCAAAGGGGTACATGGTCAGAGCACAGCGCAGAGCTATGACCAAACCCTGGCACCCAACAGCCAGCCCTGGGCTTCCTTTCCACTGTCCTCCAACTGCTCTCACCCAGTCTCCTGCTCTCCATGGCACAGGCCTGGTCTTCCTCCATGATGCTGAGGCGGGTGGTGCGGGACCAGGGCCAAGTCCACTCCCACGTCTCCACTCGCCCATTCCCCAACCAGTAGGACTTCTGGAAAGGGAAGTACCAGGGCCGCGGCAAGCCATACATACCTGCAAGCACAAGCCCTCTGGAGTCAGCTCTGGGCCTCTCCAAGCCCATCCCTGCCAAAATATTCCCAGAGAAGTCTGGTGGAAGGTTGGGGTAGAGTTGGCCACTGCTACTGAGGAGATGTCCTTGGCATGGGAACATCACTGTGGGATAGCAGCCTCAGAACGCACTGGCCAACTGGGTTCAGGGAAACACTGTGGAGTTGTGCAAGGAACCAAAGCAAAACTGGACTCAGGCCACATTTCAGTTTTACTTTAAAAATAAATGAAGTAGGTAAAACTCCTTTCCAAACTGGCAATCAGAGAAAACAACTCTTCAGCCCAGATGCCCTGTTTTGTTCATCAGCCAGGCAAGCTGAGATACCTGATTGAAGGAAGCTCCACGAATCCCATAGGGAGACAGGGGTGTCACAGGGAATCAGAGCATAAGGGCAGCAGTGCCCCAGGGGACACATGCAGGGGAGCCTGGAGGCGGGCTGACAAATCCCCCCGCGTCAGTGCGAAACATAGCCAGGAAGCACGAGCATCCTCAGCAGGGAGGCTCCCGGGAGGCTGTGCCCACCCTGCCCCGCTGCCTGTACATACCCGGGTGCACAGCCTCGATGTACCACGTGAGCACCCCATACACCACGGCATCTATGCTCAGCATCATCATGGACAGCAAGAGGTTGAAGTCGTCTCCTTCCACCGGTGACTGGCTCAAGGTGTGCCACTGGATGCCCACGCCAGCCACCTCGTACAGGGCAAAGTACTTGGAGCCCAGACCGAAGGCTGTGGTCGACATAAGGGACTGCGAAGGGGTGTAGGGGAAGGGGGGTATCAGCGGGACCCACGGGCCAAGCTCAGTAGGAACGGCTTGGGGCTAATTCCTACCCAGCTCTGCCCCATCCAGGGCCATGGAGATGCTCCAAACCATCTGGAGATGTGTCCAAAGCCCTCTGCAGCTCTGTGACATGCACGGGCACTGTGCGGGTTTGCCCAGGGCTTGGTGGCCACCGCAGCTAGTGCCATGGGTTGCCCAAGGCAAATCCTAGCCCTGGCACCCTCCCCTAGCAGCCACAGTGAACTCACCGCAATGCACTTCTCAAAGGCTGTGATCTTGTCATGCGCCACCTCCTCCCGGATGGCGACATACATGTAGGGTACGTAGCTCAGGAAGTAGATGATGCCACCGCAGGCTGAGGCCAGCTTGGCTTTGGAGTAGAGCACTGACACCAGGAAACTGCAGGGAAGACAGCATTACCCACCAGTCCCATAATGAGGCATCAGGGAGCCCCACCAGAGAGGGGTTGTGCCCTCCACCCAAGTACCCCCTTCTCCTGTACCCAGCACCTCCCTCTGCCAGTGGAAGGCAGTATCAGAGATGTCCCCCTCCAAGGACAGAGGGGCCCCCCAACAACCAACTCCAGATCCTGTCCAGTCTGGCCTGTGTGATCCCCAGAGCAGGCATGGTATCCAGCAGGCATCAAGCTGCTTTCCCCTATGCAGTCTGATTTCCCTCAGGTCATGGTAACAAACTTCCCCTCAGTTCACCTGGCAGGTGGAAACCTGTGCTCCTCCGGCGGCCCCAGCTCCCCGCACCCTCGCCCAGCGGCACAAGGACCCCATAAAGGATCAGTGCTACTTGGTGACCCCTAATCGCGCACAAGTGAATCCAGCAGCTCACCAGAACATGATGGTGGCCACAGCATAGATGGCGAGGAAGAGCCAGATGATGAGGACATCGCTGTGCATCAGGACCTTGCCGTATTTTAGGATGGCAGTGAGAGCTGTGACTGAGATGGAGAGCTGGACGAAACCAGTGATGAACCAAGCCACCCAATGCACTGCGTTGTTCAAACCCATCATCTTCATCACCTGCAAGATCAGTATCTCTCAGTGGCACTATCCCCTGTGCATCCTTCTTGCCTCACTCACTGGGGCTGGGAGAGCAAACGACAGCAGGGAGAAGTCCCTGGGGGGCTGCTGGAAGCACAAAGGCCACAATATCATCTGCTAGAGTGCAGACGGGCCAGGCTTCCTCCTGTGCTGGGCAGGGTTTATGCTGGTAACACTCAGAATGAGTGGCCTCACTCAGAGACAAGCTGTAAAAGAGCCCAGAGAGGTGGGACTTCCACCCATCCCAGTCCCGTGTCCCCACAAATGCATCCCATTTCCCAGGAAAATGAGGCAGGGCCTGCAGGCAATTTGTCTTGCTCTCCTTTGCAGACTCCCCTGGCCACTGGCAGCTATTCCCTGAGACAGTCACTGTGTCCAGCAGCTCCACCATGTTCCTGTCCACTGCAGGAGCTCTCTGCTCTTGCCAGTGACTCTGGGCCAGTGAGGGACCCCTGGCTGCTGCTGTCTAGGAATGGCTGGGTGATGGGGGGGACCAGGCAGCTCAGAAGGTGGGTCTGATCCTCATGCCTGGCCTCTCCCGGGCAGCATGGAAGGAAGATCCTGGGTTCTCCCAAGGCATCTAGCAGCATCCATACCTCTTTCAGGCGATGTTCCTTCTCTGTCACAATGTGCTGGATCATCATGGCCACTGAGTAGACCCAGGAGATCACCATGCACAAGGGCATCATGTGTTCAATGACGAAGAGGAAACTGGTGGGGTATGTGAAGAGAAGGGATCACCACAGGGGATGGGGGAGAGCCCCATGGGGCCAAGTCCCAGTGTAGCTGAAGTGCTCTCCCACTACCCAGGGAGGACCACAGGCCTCCAGTTCGGCAGTTCCTTAGTGCCCTAAAAGAGGGCACCACTGCCACCATTTTATCAGTGGGGAAACTGAGGAATGGGGAGGGGAAAATATTTTCCAGTGCTCCTCTAACAATTGCATAGCAAAGACCAGAGCAAAATTCAGATGTCCTGGCTGGCAGGTCCCCAGCAGACAGACCAGCAACAACCCTAGCCCTGGCAGGCTCAACCCAATGCCCTGCCTACCCTGCCACAGACAGACCCTTTCTATCCTTCTGCCCTGAAGGGCTGTTGAGCCTGGGACTCCGCATGTGCCAGACGCTTCACCTGGACCACCCTGTTTAACAACCACTGATGGATTCATCTAGCATGAGTCTTCAGCCTTCAAGTCTCCTTTTCCTCACTGGAATCACAAACTGGGGGAAAAAAAAAAGGAAAAGAAAAAAACCTTTTCCCGTGCTTGGAAGATCCCTATTAGATTGGTGGTTCCATCTAGGAATTTGCTCGTCATTCCCAATGTCACCAAACTCTCTCGGGTCATCCTCACTTGTCCCGTTTCCCAACTGAAGAATCTTGGCCTACCTGGACTGCCCCAAGGGAAAAGCTCCAGCCCCTACCCACCCTGTTGCACACGGGGCTACTCACTCGTCCCGGGTATAACAGGGATATGGGAACATCTGCACATAATTGCCAGGCTCCACCACATCGTGGCCAACAAACGTGTTGATGAGAGCGCGCTCCATCATATCTGGGGAGAAGGAGAGGCCAAAGTGGGTAGAGCAGCAGGGCAGGGGACGGGGGGCAGCCCCGGTGAGGAGCTGGCACTCACCCTGGATCCAGACAAAGCCGTAGAGGAAGTAGAAGCGCCCACCAGTGTTGGGGCCTGGCCGCCAGTACGCCCGCCGGATCTCGTTGGTTTTCTCCGTGAAGCTGGAGTTCTGCCGGATCTTGTAGAGGACATGAGGGGGCAGCGAGCCATCCTTGTTGGTCTGGAAGATGACACCTGTGGGCATGGGAGGAAGACAGGGAGGGCGCTGGCACCACAGGAGCCTAGTGACAGTTGCCAATGCACTGTGATGGACAGGGACATAAGAGCTCTGCTGGGATCAGGGCATCCACTGTGGGCCAAGCCAAGAAGCTAGCCCATGGCTACTGGGACTGAGGAAGGCACGCATCGCCCTGGCACAGGATCCAGGGCAGACGGGTGACAGGGATCCATGCTGGGTGAGCTAGGACAGTCTCAGGAGGCTGGGCCTGGCAGGGCTTGGCCAGGATTCAGGAAGAGCAGCAGTGGGGTCAGGAGGGAGAGGACAGGACTCTCCCTGTGACAGGGGGTTGGCACAAAGCCCGTTCACTCAAAATGTGCAGCAGAGCAGTCAACATCCCAGAGCTGGCTCCATGCCTGAGGCACATGTGGCAAATGACACATCTTTGGGGACTCCACCATGAAGGGACTGGTTCTCAGGAACATACTAGCAAAGACAGTGACGTTGTCCTGGTAGGCCTGATTCAGTGTGTAGTTGACAATGCTCTCCTCATCCGGGAAGCCCTTGAAGATGTCCACGCTGACCTGGCATGACGGAAAGACTGGTGAGATGCCATTGGCCCTCAAAGGCCCAGGATGTAGACCCTGCACACTGTGGAGCATGTCAGCCACAGCCACCACCTGGGCCACCCAGCCCACAAGACCCAGCTAGTGGGGCAGAAAGCCCTTAGATACCCCTAAGTCTATAGAAATGGACAGCTCTGCCTCTAACATCTCCCAAAAGCTTCTACACCAGAGTAGTCACCATCTCCTCCAGGTATCCCAGGGAAGATGCTGTGATCTGAACCTGTGGCCTGAAGGAGGTCAAAGCAGACTTGCCCCCCTCTTTGTCCCTGTCCTGGGTGGTGAGTCCTGCTCTGGCCTCCACATGCCTGCTGGCAGGCACGGCCTCACCTTGTCCATGAAGTGGACCCAACCGCAGGCAGCGTTGTCGATGGTGTCCAGCTGCTGCAGGAGGACACTGGCATTGGGCAGAGAGAAGTTGCCACTGAGGAAATTGTGGAGAAGGTCACTGTCGGAGACATTCAGGATCTCTGGGTGCTTGTGGAGGTCAGCTGTGAACTGCGACAGGGAGGAAGATTTGGGAGAGGGAGTTCAGATACCCCCTGCCTCTCAGTGCTGCCCTCCCCATGGACGCAGACATGACCAACTCTTCCCAGAACACCTTCTGGGAACAACGTGTCCACCTTGCACAAAGAACCCACCCCAGTGCTTGCAAGGGCAGGGTAGGCACCCAGGGACAAACCAAGCACTTTCATGTGAAGCATCTGCTCCTGTATCCTCCCTTCCCGCATTAGCATAGGGGCTGAAAGGGAGGTGGGGGCAGAAGACCCTCTTCTTGCCCCTGAGGCAGTAACACCCAGTGAGTCCAGGCCCACAGCACCATCCTACCTGCTGGAGCCAGCGGATGCGTCTCTGCAGCCTGCCCTCCTCCAGGTAGGCCCTGATCTCAGGGGAGATGTTCATCCATGCCTTGGCATAGTGGGTGACATTGCCCACGAAAGCAAAGGTCTCATTGGCCTGGGGGTGAGGAAGGTCATGCAGTTGGAAGGGGCAGCAGCACCCAGCTCCCCAGGAAGGCAGAGCCCCACACCACTAGCAGTCATGGAGATATCTGCCCACCTCCCTGCAGGGACTGACATCCCAATACACTCCAGAATGGCTACACATTTCCCATGGCACTGGCTGTCAGCTGGTTCAGCCACGGCCTCATGCAGTGCCCCATCCCCGCTAAGCTTGTCTGGGCAAGTGTGTCCCTCTTGGAGCAGGGCTGCAGAAGATGAAGGATGCAGCTCCCAGCCTCTGCACCATCACAAACCTAAGCCCTCACCTTCAGGATGACCTTGTCTACTTCAGTGCCCACAGGCGCATAGAGGATTTTGGGGTTGCTTGTCATGAGATGCACGAGGAGGCCCAGGTTTCGTTGCTCCTTGCTGGTGAAGCCCAAAGAGCTCATGTTGCCCTGCTTCAGCGCCTCGGGCTCGATCGTCCTGCAAACACAGGCCAGTCCTGGGTGCAGGGGCTTTGGGAGCACAGGATACCACCCAGCACGCGCCCCAGTGCCTCACTGCCACAGCAGCACAGGTCTCCCTGCCATGGAAACCAAGGGAGAAAGGGGGGCACTACAGCAGCCCCGTGCCAGGCTTGGCACCAGGTGAGGCTCCCTGTCAGCGTGCTCCTCCTGCACCTCCTCTAGCAGTGCCCACACTAGGAAGGAAAACCCACCCCAGGCCTCCCATCCCCAGATGTTCCTGCCTCGCTGGCTGCTGCCAAGGTGGAGGATTTCACGGCACCTCCCAAACCAGCGAGATGCCACAGCAGTGCTGCCACGCATGGAAACCTTCCCTTGTGCATGGCCACATGGGCAGAGCATGGGCACAAGGACTCGGTGTGCCACCGGTTTCCCCAAGCAGGATGGTCTGGGCTCCCTTCATCACTGGCAGAGGCAGGGAGGGCTCCCCTGCACCCACTGCCTCATCGCAATGGCAGTGCATTGACCGCGTGCCCAGGCTCTGCAGCCACCCCCTCCAAGGGCTCCTACCGGTTGTTCCCGCACAGGATGGGCTGCAGCCCAGCCCAGAGCTGCACGAAGGCTGAGAACTGCCCCTGGGGGTTCTCGCCGCCCGCCTCGCCCTCGCCATCGCTCTCCTCCTCCGCTGTGGCGTTGCCGCCCGCCGTGGCGTTGCCGCTGGCCCAGCCGGTGCTGTTGGCGGTGGGTGGTGGCGCCTTGCTGGCACAAGCTCCCTTGGGCAGCAGTTTGGCCAATGCTGAGAGAATATCCATATCGCGGAGAACCTTCTCCATCTCCACGAGGTCCTCAAGGAGGGCATGAAGACGGTGCTGGGTGGCCGTGTTGTTCACCTCATCCAGCTTCAGCTGCAGGGTCAAGCAGATAGTTACCCCTCTCCAGGAAACTAGTGCAAAGGAGCTTCACACTCACCTGCTACTGCAGAAAGGGATTCAAAGGGGACTCCTAATGACTGTGTGTCCTTTTTCCCTGGTAAAGAGCTACAGCCATGCTCATCTGGGCCCCAGCACCTGCCCTGTTGCATTCTTAGCAATTGGGCAGTAGGAGGCACTGACAGTCTTGCTGAGGGAGAGGGGACACATCACGCAGGCAGGATGTTTGCTGGTAGTTACCAAAAGGGACATACTAGATGAGGATGGGATGAAGAAGTAGACTCCACACAGGGCCTTAGGAAGTCATGCAATTGAGGGCCTCATCGACAGGGAGGGGAGCCACATTGGACCCTGCAGGGGACCTTCAGTGAGAACACAGGGTGCTGGGAGCACCCAGCAGTGCTTTGCCCCCTGCTATATCCAGCTGGCAGTGTGAGTGGGTGTCGGGAGAGGGACCCCTGAGGGTCCTTCTGTGGTCCCACTGGAGCGGAAAGGCATGAGAAGACCAACCCCATGGGCTTGTGGTGCTGGGCAATGGGGAGGTGTCCTATGACAACGCAGCAGGTGACCAGAAGGGGACAGGCCATGTCCTGGTACAGAAATCTGAGCTGGGAAAAGAGTCCGTGACCCAAGAGCCTAGCCCTGCACAGCAACCAGCAACTAGGGAAAACCAGCTCCAGACACATCCCTGTCTTGCACTCACCCTGCTGACGATTTTCCGGGTGTCCAGCTGGTCCTTGAGCTCGCTGGCCAGCTGGGCGAAGCGCTCGCCGCGGGCGGCCTGGCTGCCGCTGCCCAGCAAAAAAAAGCCAGCGGCGTTACTGCCCCCGCAACAGAGAGCCCACGGACGGGCCAGGGCATGGCAGCAACGCCCAAGGCCCCAGTAATTTCTCCTGCTCTGTTCTCCTGTTCCCCCAACTCCACACAGGACAGATAAGGGATGTGTCCCCGCCCCAGGTGAAGAACTGGCCGTGTGCCATCACCAGCCCTGCAGAGAGCCCAACCAGAGGCTAGCAGCTCCCCGGAGGGATTTGCTCCCTGCACGGGCTCTGGGATATCTATCTGCGGAATCTGCCTTCCCCTGGCACAAGGCTGCTCACCTCCATCTCCGTGACGAAGGCCTGAGGGTTGTAGGAGTCGGTGGGCCCTGGGCTGGCGCTGGCGAGGCCCAGGGCTTGCGAGAGCAGGCGGAGCAGGGTCTGTCTGTGCGAGGCTCTGGAGGGGTCGCGCAGGGCCTTGTGTATCAGCCCTTCCCGCAGGGTCCTCCAGCCACTGGGGAGGTTCTTCTGCAAGAGGCACCTATGACTGTGGCTGTCCCCAAAGTCCCCCTCTGTCCCTTGGTTTCCTCAAGTACAAAGGTGGTACCCACACCCATGGTGAAGGGGGCAGGAGAAGGGGACATGCAGATTTCAGGGAACGCAGCCCCTTGACAGAGCATGGAGCTTAGTTTCCACAGCCACAGGAGTCGACAATTTTTGCCTCATCCTCCAGTTTCCTGGCAGGGCAACCCATGTGGCAACCCACGTGGCAGTGGGAAACTACGGCACAGAGACTGGCTTTCCTCAATGTGCAGTGGCAGTGGCAGGAAGGGAGCACAGCATCCCTGCTTCCTGCTCCATGCACCTGATAATGTCCCATCATATCCCTTCTGCCTGGAAAGACAATCCCGAACAACTCTGCAATGGTGGGGAGGGCTGGGGAAAGCAGGGCAAGCAGGCGCAGAGGGAAGGGAAGGATAAGCTACATCCCACTGTGTTCTCCACCTGGGGCACCAAAACACTTCTCACCTCCATTTTCAAGATCTTCTCACCAGAGCCAAACCAATCCCACAGATCTCTCTCATGGGTGTCATCAGGTGCCAAAGGAGCAGATCCGAAATAAAGGCGGTACACCTGCAGAAGGGAGGTAAGCAGGGTGGGTGAGCATGGCATGGAAGAGCCATGGCAAGAGTGGAGGGAGCAATGCCCTGGCACGGGGGCCACAGGGAAGAGGGACTGCAGGGCAGAACGTGTCCCTGCTGGGTGCCCGCTGCCTCCCCTCCAGGAGCGCACCGCAATCGGGGCTGGGACTGGGTGGAGGAATGCACGTCTGCTCAGTGTCCTTGGGAGAACTCACCCCTCCATCCCCATCCCGACCCGCAGGGCCTGCCCCGTTCTGCTCACTTACCTCCCGGAGGTCGATGCTGGAGCCCAGGAGGAGCTCAGCTGTGCTGTTGGGGAGGGACAGGTTCTGCGTGAGGAAACGGTGCAGTTCGTCCCGGTCCTTGGCTGCCCACGCCAGGGTGAAGCTGGATCCTGGCAAAGTGTGAAACAGGAAGCACAAAGTGAGAGCAGCTACGTACGGCCAGGACACAGGGCAGGGGGATGTTTCACACCTGGTTCAGCCCATGCATGCAGAGCCTGCAGGGATGAAAGAAAGCGGCGGCATCGTGCCACACGCTGCCACATTGCTCAGTGCTTGACATGGGAGAACCTCTGAGCCCACATGTGCCCTCCCCACGTGCGTGGGAGCTGCTGCTGGCAGGGCACTGGTTGCTGAAGTGGCTCTCCATGGAGCCGGGCTCGCTGCTGCTGAGGGCCTCCAGGCGCCGGCGTAGGGACTGCAGCTCCTCTTCCAGGCCGGGGTGGTCCGGGTCGAACAAGTTACTTTGCTCCACCACTTCACTGAGGTGCTCGAGGAGCTGCGTTACCCTGCAGAGCAGAGCAGCATGGGGGTGTCAGCGACGGGTGTCAGCAGTGGCCACGCGGCTGGCTTGGCAGGTGCCCCTCTGCAGAGCCAAGGCAGGGCCCAGGGGTACACACGTGTGGGGCTACGCTGCAGGGACGGTGGGGACAATCATCCAGGCACACGGTCCCCATGTTGCTGCCCCCAGCAGCTTCCCCTGCCTTCCTGCCTCGCGCCAGGGATATGAAGGACAGCGCCAACATCGCAGAGAGTCCCCAGTGGGGCCATCCTCTCCCCTCCTCCCAGCAGACCACCAGGCACCTTAGACCCTGCAAGCCCAAGGGGGAAAGGCTGGGACGGTCTCGGTGCCTTCGGGACCCAGGAGACTGCACCTAAAAGCTTTGGTGGACACAGGGTGGTGCATTTTTTCACACAGGGCACTGCCAGCACGAGAAGACCCGTGCTGCACATGCATGCCCATGCTGCATGGGATGAACAGGGGCTGGGGGGGAGGAGGGCAGGGAGAGAGGCCAACTCACGTGGAATTGGAGTACTGCAGGAAGCCGAATTCATCCCGCTGGCCATCCGGACACAGGGACTGCATCACCGGTAGGATGCCGGCTGAGGTGAGCGGGGCCGCCGTGTAGAAAGCTGGAGCCAGAGGGAGCCGGCACAAGAGCCAGGAGAATGATAAGGGGCAGGGGAGGAGAGGGCCACCGGAGAGACAGACACTCAGTTGAGAGAAGCAGGAGGACTGCACCATAAGGCCACCACGGGAGGCTACGCTCGAGGCAGGAGAGCGGACAGCTGAGGTCAGAAGTCCGCTGCTTTTGTTGCATTGCCACAAAGGGTCTCCCGGGGCTGGAGGCTTTTCGGGGATCCGGGCAGGCTGCTCCTGCCTGTCCCCAGGACACCCTGAGGCTCCATCCTTGCCCTCGTCACCCGGCCTGATCCCCTCTGTGTGACAGTGGCCCTCCCACCCTAGAAGACACTGGACTTCTGACCCCTGTCCTTAGGACTGCCGGCAACCTCCCCTGGCCTCTTGGCCACTCGTGTTAGTAAGTCAGAGAGGCACCGCATTTCCCGAGGAAGAGGAAGAAGAGAGAGAACACGACAGGGTAAAGAGTGGGCACCAACAGCTCTCCAAGCTCCCACGGCCCCTTCTCGAAACCCATCCTCCTCCCCGCCCAGCTGCCCTGATGCGTGGCTGGAGGAGGTCAGACGAAATGGAAAACTGAGGCAGCAGGGAGAGATGGAAAAATAAAATGAGGAGCCACAAGGAGACAGCACACATTCACCTCAGCCCTGGTATTTGATGACTGCACCTAACCACGGCATTCACACGTCCTGGGGTTTGGGAGAGGACAAGCCCAGCAGTCCTACCTGTCCCCATCCCCAACGGGGTGAGCTGTCACCAGGCGATGACGCTTGGGGGCTGAGGATCCTGCAAAGTGCTGCCATTTTGAGGAGCACCTCAGCCCTGAGCCTGAGGCTATATCAGGTACCAACCTGCCTGGCAGAGCCCCTGGCAGGGCTTTCTCAGGTGCAGCCCAGGGCTGCAAGGGTGCTGGGGGCCTCTCACTCCTAGTGGGGATGGTGCTGGGAGGGCTCAAAAGCAGCTTTTCCTTGGGGAAAAGGCCTGGGTGCCCCACTCCATCCCAGCGCCTGACATCTGGCTGGCAGCAAGGTGCCATGATCTGGAGATGCTGTCCTGAATAAACATGAGCTGGTTCTCCAACCTCCAACCAAGAGGCCAGCACAGTGGGACCTGCCTCTTGCCCGTCCCTGCCATCAGCCCTGGAGGACTCAGAGTTAGACGGAGGTCAGTGCTGTTAGCACAGCTGCGAGACCGGAGCTGGTGAAGAGGTGCTTCTGGGCACGGAAAACAGCTATCCCGGGGCAAAGGGGCCCGGCACGACCCGGGACAGGCCCCAGGCGGGTGAGGAAAGCACTTAGCGCTGATGATAGTGCCACCAAACCAGGCATCGTGGCACTGGGTGGAATCTGGTTGTCTTCCAGGCCTTTTCCAGTCGTATCCCAGCCTCATGGATCCATCCCAGCTGCACGGGGCCAGGAAAAGTCCCATGATGGGGATGGGGCTGGGGGAGGCAGGCTGCTTTGGGGGACAAGTGTGGGGGACCACAGGCAAAACTGGACAATCACAGGCTACATCAGAGCCTGCATCCAAACGGCCTTGGGCGGAAAGAAGGGACAGGATGAGCCCAGCCTGGAAAGCCATCTCCAGCCTCAACCAACCTTGGTCACTGCCATGATCAGCCTCAGCACCTGGTAAACCAGGCAGTGGCTTTGGGCAAAGCAAACCAGCTGGTGGTGTGGAAAACCACCACGGGCACAGCCTGCAGGCCCAGCAGGGAAGGGCCCGTGCTGCTGTCCAAGCTCATCTTCACCAGCCCAGAAGGAAGGAGATGACAGGGTTACAGAAGTGCGGATTAGGCCAGGAACCTCCATTTCCCCAACATACTTGATGAGCAAAGGCAGGGGAAAGGAGGGAGAAAGAGGCACCCACCCATCCAACAACTTACAGACTGGAGCATGCAGTAGAGGCATGGAGGGCGAGCGGGCAGGGGTGATGGTGGGAAAGAAAAAGAAAACATGAGAGAAAAGAAAGAAAAAAACAATAACAAAAACCCCACAACACACAGAGAGCAACGAGACCGGGGTGGGCCCGGCGCGCGCCCTGGTGCTCCGTGCAGCGTGGCTCTCCCTCGCACGCCGCCGGACGCAGCTGAAACACAAGCTCAGAGCACCGTTACACAGGGCTGTGCCGGGGGGCCCCGTCGCCCCGCTCCCCCCAGCGCGTCCCTTCCGATGGCACCCAGGGCTATTCCCGCCTGGGCACCCCAGCGGAGCACCCCGGACCCACCGCCTGGGCCCGAACTGCTGAGAGCCCCTCCAGGCCCCTCCGGCTGCCAGGGCTTCCCCCTTCGCCCGGCCCCCGGGGCGCGGGGACCCGGTCCCGAGCCCTGCTCCCGCTCACCTTCCTTCACAGGGATGGTCGGCTTCTTCTGCCGCAGCCCCAGCAGGATGAAGAAGAGCACCAAGGGGATGAAGATCTCAAAGGCTAACACCCACTGTGGAGGACAAGGCGGAAGCGACCGTCACTCTGGTGGAGGAGCCGGCCACCGCGCAGGAGCGCAGCGTGCGGGGACCTGGGCCCCCTGCCCGCTCCCAGGAGGGGCTCTGGCTGAGGCGGGGATCCCTGGGGC